GTATAATGCGTTTCAACTACCTGTGTACAAAAACCCAAAATATCCAAGTGTTAATTCCTTCACTGCATACGACATACCTGTGTAGCATTTTCTGAACTTCCTCGTTCCTGCGTCAGAAGTGAGTTGCAAGCAAACCCTAGAAATGGCACAAGAAGAAGGAGTTAATGTGAGGGTGGACACGTTGGGGGATGATGATGGGAAGGAGTTAGCAGCGCAATACAGGACGGAGGCACAGATGGTGGGGGCGGGGGTGGGTGAGACGATGGGAGAATCGCAGGCGTCGGCCCTGATATTGGCCCCAAAGCCACTAAGCCAGGTGGAGCCAGAGCAGTGGCACACTAAGGCGGACAAATCCACACTCACGGTGGCGAATTTGGAGGTGATTAGGGAGCGGTACCAGATTCCGGCGGAGGTAGAGTTACTGCTGCCAACATCGGGGGAAAGGCCGTCTACTGCGAGGCCAGGGGAGTTTTCCCTGTACGAGGAGGCGCTAAAAGGGGGGCTGAGGTTGCCACTGCCTCAAGTGGTGGTTGACGTGTTGAATCGCCTGGAGGTAGCGCCGAGGCAATTGATGCCCAATGCCTAGAAGATTCTGCTGGCCTATGCGAGTGCGTGGCCTAAGGCGAATGGGGGGGAGGCTATGACGGTAGACGAGTTCTTTTCGTATTACAAGGCGTCGGGGCAGCAAGAAACTTGGGTCACCTTACAGGCGGTGATGGGGAGGGGATTGGTGGCGGGGCTGCCCACGTCGATCAAGGGGTGGCGGCCACGGTGGTTCTACGTGACTGTTAATGGGGGGATGGGGGTGCGCACCATCTGGAAGGTGCCAACCAGGTCGATGGAGTCGAGACTGGGGGCGATGGCGGAAGAGAGGGTGAAGCGGGTGAAGGAGTGGAGAGAGAGAGAGAAGGCCAGATGGGACGAGCTTGTCCAACCGTCTGCACTGTTTGAGGCGGGGCTGGGACCGCAGCCGAAAGGCGGAGACCTCGGCCGGGCGGAATTGGAGGCAAGGAGAAAAGCTCAGGAGATAGAGGATCGGGCCATTCTGGCAAAGGCCGCGAAGTTCGCGGAGGCGCAGAGGGACCGTCCGCCTCAACCGATCGCGCGAGAGAGAATCCGACCGCGCCCAAGGCCGTTGGGTGAAAAAGACTTAAGCAGTTTTGAGCCGCGGCCGCCGCCTGTAGACCCTGTAAAGGAAAAGGCTGGAAAGGCGGTGGAGGCTCTAAAAAAGAAGAAGAAGAGGAGGAGTGCCCCAGAGGAGGCAGCAGATGCGTCTGGGGCCAAGAGGGCTAAGGCGGCCCCAACTGAGGTGGAGGTCCCTGTGGGCAAGGACGCCCCAGAGGTGGTGGAGATCATCCCAACGGTGGAGGTTGTGAAGATTGTTCCATCAGTGCAAGTAGAGGCTGGGTCGACTGAGGTAGTGCCGAGCGGAATGGAACAGGTCCAGAAGAGGCCTGACCCCCAGAAAGGAGGGGTTCGTCCGGCTACGGCGATCTATCATGCGCGCGCGGTAGCTGGAAGGTTGGAGGGAGAAGAAGGCCCAGCCAGGGTGGGGGCAGACCGGCTGGTGAAGATCGTGGAGGAGACGGCTCTGCGCGCGGCATCAGGATATAATGAGGCTGACCTGCTGAGGGGGTTATGCTCCGCCCAAATGGAGGTGACTACCTTGGCAGGGGCCCTCCTTAGGAAGGCAGGGACTGCCAAGTTGAAGGTTGAGGAGGCCAGGGTCCAGTTGGCTAAATTGAAGAAGGACAGTGCCGACTGGAAAACTGCCCATGACGAGCTGCCAGTAGTCAAGTTGGAGCTGGAGGACACACGCCGTAGGGTCGTGTCGCTCGAGTTCCAACTGGCTAGTGAACAGAAAAAGTTGGAAGAGTCTGAGAGGGCCTGCGCCGTAGCAGTCGAGCGGCATGAGGAGGCCATGACCAGCAATGAAGAGCTGGTCAGGCAAAAGGATGAAGCAAATTCCAGAATTGGAGACCTGTTGAAGGAGTTGGGGGAGGAACGCGCCAGAGCAGAAGAGGAAAATGGGAGGCTTCTGAGGGCGTGGGAGATAGAGAAGGCGAAGGCGGTGGCGGAGCTGGAGAGTCTGAAGAAGGGGGTGGAGGAGGAGAGGGCGACGGCGGCGGCTGAAAGGGGGGCCCTGCAAAGAAAGCTGGACGAGGAGAGGGCAAAGGCGGCGTCTGAAAAGGCAGCCTACCCTGATCTGTGCGTTGCAGCAGTGGAGTAATATAAGGGGTCCTCCGAATTTCAGATGGTGGTAGACGCCGCTGTCGCCAGGAGTCTAGCTAGTCAAGAGTTGGGGGGTGGGCCCATCAAGGATGACTGCTGGAGGTAGGACAGAGACAGAGGTGATTGAAAGCTTCCAGCAGTCAGATTTCTATAAGCACGAAATGGCTGAGTTCTGGGACAGCGGTTGGAAAATGTTCAAGCGCAGAGCTGAAGAGCTGTTCCCACACTTGGACCTTAGTAGTGTGACAATAGGCGAAGATGATGTGGCCCAGACCCCCCTGGACGAAGGCGTTGAAGAAGAGGATCTGGCATCTAGCGAGGAGGAGTAGCCAAGGAGAAGAAAGACTGGGCGTGCTCTGTGTTTGTTTGTTTTTTTTTTTTTTTTTTTTTAACTTGTAAACACATTGTAAAGGAGTGAATGAATGAATGAACGTATGAAGAATTTACTTGTAATGAATTTGTGTACAAAGATTATTTGGCTTATGTTGCCAGTTGAATTTTTATTTATTTTGCTTATGTTGCCAGAATGAATGAAGTGTTATGATAAAAACTGGTCGTAAAGATTGTCTGGTTGAGGCTTTTGAAATGCTCGGTCTGGCCGAGGCTTTCGAAGTGCTCGGTCTGGCCGAGGCTTTCGAAGTGCTCGGTCTGGCCGAGGCTTTTGAAGTGCAAGGTCTGGCCGAGGCTTTTGAAGTGCACGGTCTGGCCGAGGCTTTTGAAGTGCACGGTCTGGCCGAGGCTTTTGAAGTGCTCGGTCTGGCCGAGGCTTTTGAAGTGCTCCGTCTGGCGGAGGCTTTTGAAGTGCTCCGTCTGGCGGAGGCTTTTGAAGTGCTCCGTCTGGCGGAGGCTTTTGAAATGCTCCGTCTGGTTGAGGCTTTTGAAATGCTCGGTCTGGCCGAGGCTTTTGAAATGCTCGGTCTGGCCGAGGCTTTTGAAGTGCTCGGTCTGGCCGAGGCTTTTGAAGTGCTCGGTCTGGCCGAGGCTTTTGAAATGCTCGGTCTGGCCGAGGCTTTTGAAGTGCTGCAAGTGGAAAAGTTATTGGGGCCACATAGAGACAGTTGAATTACGAAAACCGAGGTCACCAGTCGGAATTTACATTATGTATAGAAAGGGGAATACAACGATGTTGACAATACAAAAGTATGGACTTATTGGTAATAACGCTTCAAATGTTCTGCATTCCAGGGATGGGGCAGGTCTCGGCCTTCCATGTCTTGAAGTCGGTAAGTGCCTGGTCGTGGTCGGGCTTTTACAACGTAGGGCCCCTCCCATTTGGCTGCCAGTTTGCCCTCGGTTGGATTCTTTGTGGCAAGAGTCACTTCTCGTAAGACAAGGTCCCCTACGGAGAACTCTCGTGGTCGAACTCGGCGGTTGTAGTGTGTTCTCATTTTCTGCTGGTACGAAGCCAATCTGACAGCAGCTGTCTCTCTGAGCTCTTCGACGAGGTCCAAGTCTGTACGGTGAAGTTCTTCGGCTGTGGCCAGATCCGGATGTAAAATCCTGGGAGTGGGCAAACCGACTTCTACCGGAATAACCGCCTCAGCGCCATATGTTAAGCGAAAAGGGGTTTCACCAGTGGGAGTGCGAGCAGTGGTTCGGTAAGCCCAGAGTACATTTGGTAGTTCTTCAGCCCAAAGGCCTTTAGCAGCTTCGAGCTTGGTTTTGATGATTTTCAGAAGTGAACGGTTGGTGACCTCAACTTGGCCGTTTGCTTGGGGGTGACCGGGAGAGGAGAAGCACGGTTGAATCTGGAGATCTGCACAAAATTTTCTGTACTTCGCGTTATCAAACTGTTTGCCATTGTCAGAGATGATGGCTTGAGGGATGCCAAATCGGCAAATGAACGATTGCCAGATAAACCTGGTGGTGTTCTGCTCGGTGATTGTGGCAAGGGGTTCAGCCTCGACCCACTTGGTAAAGTAATCAATGGCAACGATCGCGAACTTGGTCTGACCTCGACCGGTGGGAAGCGGACCAACCAGGTCGATCCCCCACTTGGCAAACGGATAAGGGCTGCAGAGTGTGATTAACTCTGTAGGAGGAGCATGAGGGATGTTGGCGAAGCGTTGACATTTATCGCATTTGAGCACGAAGTCGGTCACATCCTGATTGAGAGTTGGCCAAAAGTACCCAGTACGGAGTATCTTCTGGGCAAGGGACCTGCCTCTTAAGTGATTACCGCAAATCCCCTCATGGATCTCCTACATTACGTAAGTTGCTTGCGCTGGATTGAGGCACCGTAGATATGGCCGGGAGAAGCCGCGTTTGTACAATATATCGTCGACAATGACGTAATTGGATGCTCGGGATCGGACTTTGGAAGCCTGTTGTTGGTCATCTGGGAGTGCTCCTGTGGTCAAGAATAGGAGGATGTCGGATGCCCAAGGGATAGGTTCATTTTGAATGTATTGTACAGCTTGTAGATCGGGTGAAACGGCCGGGTGGTGTAGATATTCAACGCGGACATCATGGCTGAGAGTAGGATGGTCAGCAGAAGCCAACTGAGCCATCTCATCTGCTTTGGAGTTTTCTGCCCGAGGAATATGCCTGATGTGGAAGGTATTGAAGAGGCGAGCAAGGGGGAGTGCCAGGTCTCTGTAAGCTCGCATCGTGTCGTCCTTGGCATCAAAGTCCCCCGTCATCTGACCGACGACGAGTTGGGAGTCGCTGAATACTCGGAGGTGGCTGACCCCTATGTCCTTGGCGAGGTGGAGTCCTGCAATTAATGCCTCGTACTCGGCTTCATTGTTGCTTGCTTCAAACAAGAAACGGAGTGCACATTTGAAGTAGCCGCCCTCAGGAGAGGTGAGGATGAGACCAGCACCGCTTCCTTCTCTTCGGGACGACCCGTCGACATTAAGAGTCCAAGAATGAGGATCTTCTGGCTCTGTTGGAGTTGGTAGGGGCGGAGGTGTTGTGGTCGGGGTCAGCTTGGTGAACTCCATGATGAAGTCAGCTACAGCCTGCCCCTTAATTGCTGTCCGAGGGTGGTAAGAGATGTCGAACTGGCTGAGTTCTATGGACCACTGCATCAGTCTACCTGAGAGTTCTGGTTGCTGCATGACTTTCTTCAGGGGCTGGTCGGTGAGGACCACTATGGAGTGGGCTTGGAAGTATGGGCGGAGTCGTCTAGAGGCAATGACCAAAGCCAGGGACAGTTTTTCCAGCAAGGGGTAGTTCTGCTCCGCGCCCCTGAGAGCTCGGCTAATGTAATAGATCGGTCGTTGGATTGAGCTATCTTCTCGGAGGAGAGCTACACTGACTGCGATTCCTGATACTGCTAGGTAGAGAAAGAGGGGTTCGCCTGTGATTGCTTGGGAGAGAAGGGGGGAGTTGGCCATGCATTGCTTTAACTGTTGAAAGGTCTCCTCGGATTCAGCTGTCCATTCAAAAGTCTGCCGAAGAACTTTGAAGATGGGCAAGCGCCTATCTGTCGCACGGGAGATAAAGCGGTTGAGGGCCGCCACTCGGCCGGTGAGTCTCTGAATCTCTTTGACCGTCCTAGGCGACTGCATCTCAACCAAAGTCTTGATCTTCTCAGGGTTAGCTTCGATGCCACGCTGACTGACCATAAGGCCCAAAAATTTGCCAGACCCTACGCCAAAGGCGCACTTTTCTGGGTTGAGCTTCATCTGGTACTTGCGCAAGGTGGCAAAGGTCTCACGTAAATCAGTAAGGTGATCGGAGGAGTATTTGCTTTTGACTAGCATATCGTCGATGTAGACTTCCATATTCTGGCCTATTTGGTGATGGAAAACGGCGTTAACCAGCCGCTGATAAGTGGCCCCAGCATTCTTCAATCCGAACGGCATTACACAGTAGTGGTAGGTACCTCGGTCGGTAATAAAGGATGTGTGCTCCTGGTCAGATGTGTGCATCAGGATTTGGTTGTACCCTGAGAAGGCATCCATGAAGCTGAGCATTTGATGACCGGCCGTGGCGTCGACCAGCAGATCTATGCGGGGAAGGGGGTAGCTGTCTTTGGGGCAAGCTCGGTTCAGGTCAGAGTAGTCGACACAGAGCCGCCATTTGCCATTGTGTTTGCGGACGAGGACCACATTGGACAACCACCTAGGATAGTCCACATTTTTTATGAATTGGGCCTCGAGGAGTTTGCCAACTTCGGCGGCTATAAGGGTGTTACGCTCCGGATGGAAAATGCGTTGCTTCTGGCGGTGGGGTCAAAAGTGGGGTTCGATGCTGAGGCGATGGGTTATGAAGGAGGGGTCGATGCCTGGCATGTTAGAATGGGTCCAGGCGAATACATCTCTATGCTCGATCAGGAGAGCAGTAAGGTCGGCCTTGGCTTGGGCAGGTAATTGGCTGCCAATCTTGGCGGTTCTGATTGGGTTGGTGGGATCAATGTTAACTTCAATAAGTTCCTCTACAGGTTCACCTCTGACCAGCCCGTCCTCATCTCGGACGTCAAGCCCTTCGATGATCATGGCCTCTTTTAGCTTTACTTCCTTGAGTGAGGCGACATAACACTCCCTGGCCACGGTCTGCTCTCCTTTGACAGTGCCGACATCGAGATCGGTAGGAAATTTGATGGCAAGATGATATGTAGATGTGATGGCTTAGAAGGCGTTGAGGGCTGTGCGGCCGAGGATGATGTTGTAAGCAGAGGGGCAGTCGACCACAAGGAAGGTGAGCAACTTAGTGGTCTGCCGCGGGTGCTCGCCAATGGTGATAGGTAGATCGATGGAGCCGATGGAGGTAATGCGGTCGCCGGTGAAGCCGACCAGAGGGGTTTGGAGAGGAGACAAGCTCTCTTCCCCAATCTTGAGCTGGCGGAAGCAATTGAGAAAGATAATGTCTGAAGAGCTGCCGTTGTCTACGAGGACTCGTCTGACTTTGTAGTTGGAGAGTATGGCGGAAATGACAAGGGGGTCATCATGTGGGTAACGGACTCCTGCACAGTCGGTGTCGGTAAAGGTGATGGGTTCGATCCATTGTTTTGACTGTTTGGGAGGTCGGTCCACCATCGCCACCGCTTTGTCTGAGCCCTGCCTGATTTTTCTGAGTTCTGCCTTCTGAGCCGAGCGGGATGGTCCCCCGCAAGCAAGGCCGTCTGAGATAACTCGGATTTCTCCGACTGGTGGAGGGGGATTACCAGGAGGCCGAGGCTGTGGTGGTGGGCGATCGTGGCCTTGGTTAGGTGGGCCTTGGTTGCGGGGTGGTGTTTGTCGGTGATTGTTCCTGGTGAGGTCGGTTCTTTGTCTCTGTGGAGGGCGGTTATCTGTGAATCGGCTGAGGCAGCCCTGGCGTATGAAGGTCTCAATCTGATCTTTGAGGTTAATACACTCGTCGGTGGTATGACCATGGTCTTGGTGGAAGTGGCAGTATTTGGACTGATCTTTTCGAGTGGAAGGGTTTCGTGAAGGTAGGGGCCACTTGAGGGGGTAGTCCCGTTGGATTTGATTGAGGACGTGCTCCATAGGGGAGTTGAGAGGTGTGTATCGCTCAAACCGACTAGGCGGTCTGGTCGGAGTCGTCCGGTCGGCACGGGGGGGTCGGTCATTATAGTGAGGTGTGTTGGTTATTATACTGGGCAGTTCTTGGTTCGGAGTCTTTCCTTTTGTCTCTAGGGGTCGGATTTTTAGGGGTGAGTTCTTATCGAGCGGCCAGAGAATCTTCAGCATTCATGTACTTCTGGGCTTTGGATAGGAGGGCTGCTATGGTGGTTGGAGGGTTTTTGGAGAAGGAGAAAAGGAAATTCGACGACCGCAGGCCGGCCATGAAGGCGGTGAGGATGACCTTGTCGTCATTCTCCGCTACTTGAAGGGCCTCGCTGTTGAAGCAGGTGACGAAGCTGCGGAGCGACTCCCCCTCGGTCTGACGAATGTTGAGGAGTTGGGTGGCTGGGCGTCTCTGACGCTGGGCCCTGATGAAGTGGCTCAGGAAAGAGTCACTGAGGTGTTGGAAGGTGGAGACGGAGTCTGCTGGTAACTGGCTAAACCACAATCGAGCTGATCCCTTTAGTGTCACTAGAAAGGCTTGACACATGATCTCGTCAGGGAAAGCATGGAGGATCATGAGGGTGCGGTAGGTTTCCAGATGGTCGACGGGGTCTGTTGTGCCATCGAATGAGTCAATGGTAGGCATTTTGAACTTGGCGGGCAACGGTTTGTCGCGGATGGAGGCAACAAAAGGCGAGTGGGCGGTGGTTGAGGGCTTGTGTTGGATGTTCTGGATGACCCCTTGTAGTTGGAGTTTCATAGCTCGGAGTTCCGCGTCCCAGAGGGGAATGTTGTCTCCATGGTCGGTAAATGGGGGCTGGACACTGCTGGCTTCCCCCTCAGGGGGTAGTGGCACGACTGGCGGGCGTGGAGACGGAGGTGGTAGGCTCATATGTGGAGGAGGAGGGGGTTGTAAACCTTCTGGGTTGAGCGGAGGGGGTTGTGGAGCAGTGTGGCCCGGAGTTCTTTCTTGGTTGGGTGGAATATCTGGAGGTGGAACGGGGAGGTTTCTGTGGAGCAGTGTGGCCCGGGGTTCTTTCTTGGTTGGGTGGAATATCTAGAGGTGGAGCGGGGAGGTTTCTTTGGAGTAAAGCATTGATCAGGGCCTGGTTTTGCTCGGCCATGCGGTTAATACTGTTGGTAAGCTCGATGATGTACTGTGGTGGGTTGTTTGGATGGGATGGGTCTGTTTGATGATCGGTGGCATTATGGTGGTAGGCCATGGACCTAGTCGTGACCATACACCTGGACGGGTGAGAGGAAAAAGATGATAGTGAGAAAGGAGGGCTCCGGCAATAGCGAACACAACTAGCGCGCGAATAAACCACCAGGTTCCCACAAACGGCGCCAACTGATGATACAGTCCGTCCCGGGTGGATGGGTCAGGCTGGCCCAGGCTCTTCAGGTTCCGGCTTCGAGTGGTGATTCCGTCAAATGACCTGCAAGCAAGTCCAAAGGGGAACGGGGCAGTCCCCCAGTGAACCCTCCGGCGAGAGAATTAGTAGAGAAAAACAGGACAATGTAGGGAAGAAGATGGAGAGATAAAAAGCTTAACCTTTTTCTTGTGCTTCTCTTGTTGCTTATATCCTTTGGTAATCATTTCACTGTCCTTTGTGACGTGCCCCCTTTCCGCCGAAAGCCTGTGCCGTAGCTTACCTTGTTCAGGGTGAGGGGGCTCTGTTCCGACGGGGAGGTGTTGTCGTAATAAATGCTGTGATGGGCTGCATTAATGGTGATGTGTTGTGGCAATAACTCTGCAGATCTTTGTCTGCTGATGTGGCCTGTGTCTCATCTGTCATGTGTCCGAATGCCCTTGGCCCTCCACGTCCAGGTGAACTCCAGCTGTCCTGGGCTTTGCCAACCAACTTATGCTATGGGTCCAAAGCGATGGGTTCGGGGTGGTTTGCCGTGGGCTGTATGTCTCGTGGGCCTGTCCATGTCAATGTTTATTTTGTCAAACTAATTTTAATTTTTTAAAAGTGAATAAACAAGTTTTGAAACTCAAGCAAACAGAAGTGTTTCCAAACCTATAGGCCCCAACATCTATCTTTGTTCGGCCTTCCTTTCAAGAAATTTTTGTATGCGGATAGGATTCATGTCATGTAATATTTTTTATTATTGTGATTGATTTTGACGGTAAGGGTAACTACATTTATATTGAGTGTTTAAGAAATAATAATGGACATATACATTTGTGATTAGTGAAAAGTAGTGCCACGTGGTACCTATTGGCATATAAAAATTTCTCCTTTCCCAAATAGTCTCAATCACTACTGCTTTCCCTTCGGCATGAATTACAACAGCAAAAATTACAAATAAGTGGTATTTCTATAAAATATTTACAAATTTATGAAAATACTTATAACTTAAATTATTAAAATGGATGAACTTTTTCACCTATTTGTAAATTTTTAAAAAAACTTGTGCACTTTCCCCAATACAAAAATGCTTGAACACCTTTCTAAAATCCAGGATATATAAGGATCCCTTTTCCTTGCCAAAGCCCACATTTTCTTCCACTGCAACAATAACCCGTGTCAGATTTGCTCCAAGTAGGAGAGAGCAAAGGAGCCAAGCGAAGTTAGGCTTGTTTTTAAAGCATCCTTGCAACTAGCAAGATTGTTTTCGAGAGACACCGGCATGCCCCTCATTGTCCTATTCCACATTACCCACGCAATTTATATTAAGGGTTAGTTTGACAAGTTTTAAAAAAGTCAAAAAATCACTATTCTATTTAAATCACATCATCTTATTTAAGTCATATCACCTCTCTAACCCATCACTTCAAACCCAACCCAAATCCAATCCATATTTCATAAAAAGTCAAAAAGTGCACTTATTTAAATCATCCCAAACAACCCTTAAGAATTTGAGGAGAAATTTGTAAAAAAAAATAAAAGAGGATAAAAGTGAATGAAACAAAAATGAAACTATTTTTACTTTTTCCGTCTCTTTTCTTTTATCCTTTATTCAAACACAACATAAATCCTTCTATATATAGCTAAATGAAATTGTTTATTTAATCATATTGACCAAAAAAAAAAAAACTACCACCACCATGTATTCAATGAAATCTCCTTTTCAAGCCTATTAATGGTCAAAAAAGGAATGAAATAGTCTGCTATCTTATTAACCATCTCAAATGTTAGCCTAGTGGAATCAAAACTAACTTAAACAAAGCATTGAAGCTCAGGCAAGATGTCATGAATGAGCCATTCAGCCAAAATCTTATAAGCCTCTTGAGTCAAATGAACTCCATCCCAACTGATACGCTGATTTGGGTTTGGACATATTTCAACCTCTGGATCTCCGCAACATTTGGTTAGACTGAAATTGTAATCACCTCCAGTCCCACAACAAGGTTTCAGGAAAGAACTAGGATCAAAACCTATTGACAACAAAAAGAAAGACAACTACGATCATGACGAATCTATACTACTTAATTACAGTAAAATGGAAAAATACATAGAAAGTGTGACGAATAGTAGGGGCGCAACTTGGGTTAATCCAACTCAGAACAATCTGAGTCCACGCCACAAACTTTTGAGGTTTAGACAACATAAATTTAAATTTGTTCAAGATTGGGTTAAGATTTGTCAAGCACGGGTTGTTGTCCAACTCGAGCAAAAATTTTAAATTAGTTCAAGGCTTGGGCAGAAACTCTCATAACATGACCGGCCTGATGAATTCTATTGTTCATATATATAATAAATATAAAATACTAATTATTTTTTTCACAGTTAGATTAAATCATATTGCATTGTAATCAATTCTATTCCTTGATGCACATAACCACAATCAATTTTCTAATTATAGTCTTATGTTTGTAATTTTTTGTTGAGATTTTTTTATTTAAAAAGAAGTGCGATATATTGGTTTGGGATAACTCATTCTCAACTCAATATGAATATTTGGGTTGAATTGGGCTAACGCAAGCCTATAATTGAACTCTTTGAGATAAGTTCACGAGGGACTAACCCACCGTTGTTTGTGTTTTTTTTAAAACTCTTGTTTTGTTCTGTTATTCCTTTGAATCATTTTTTTTAAAAAAAAAAACAAACAAACAAACAAACTATTTCACATAAATTCAAGCTCAGGCAAAGCTACTTCAGGCTAGGAGTCAGCTTGGGCAAATTCAACTATACTTCGGGTTGAGTTAGCCCGACTAAACCAGTTTGAGTTGCCATCCTACAGAACAAACATAACATATGGCCCATTGTGTCTATTTTGTGCATTTTTTTAGTCCCTACCATGTCTGGATGCAGATAGACTCACCAAGATGTGGAGCAAAACGGAGAAGCCACTGGAAAGCGTTGTAATAATCACCGTACACGATAACTGCATTTGGGTATTCATGTTTCAACTCTTCGATGGCTTGTTGTAAGTGATCATTGTAATACATCGTGAGTTCGTTGAATTGTTTCAAGCAGTAATGTTCATCATAGGCAGCTGAGTCATTGGTTTGGAATACTGTAAGATAGATTGGAAAACAACCTACAGGAAAATTCCCAGGGACAACCACGCGGACAGCTCCATAATGGATGACTCTCTGCCACCCATAAGAGAATTAGGATTATGATTTGCTGGTGATTGGATTAAGAGGGAAGTCATATTTATCATTTGATGAATTTCACTAGTTTTTTCACCTCTTGAGAGGATTCACACACCAAACATTATGTGTACCCTCACCATACCTAGGAAAAAAAGAAAAAAAAGAAAAGGACGCACCTTCATTAATTTTGTGAATATTTAACACTTAGGAAACTTTAGGAAAAAAACACTCTAGAGGATCCTTGGTGTGTGGGACGTGGTGCTTTCAATCAATAACGTAGCAGAAACATCACGTAGTGCTGAACCACACAGTGTTTTGCAGTTCTTCATTTGACAGAAGCACCACATAGACATTGATACATGATATTCCCGGACTAAATAATTTTTTTTGGTACAACAAAAAGAATGCACTACAAATTAATCTTAATGAAAAATACACATTTGTAGGACAACTTACTCTAACAACATCCATAATGGCTCGAACAACCTCAGGTACAATGCTCTTTGCCTCCTCAGTGGTTTTGCCACCTTCTATAAGAGCATAATTATAATCATTCCCTCCAATCTCTCCAACCATGAATAGAGAGTTCTTTAGCTTCTCCACATAGTCTGTTAATTAAAAAAAAAAAAAATGCTTTTAACTTCTGTTTTTCTGATTATCAATTTTCGAATTCCCAATATGCGCTTAATTTCACAAGGTCACCAACCTCTCTTATGGAAGATGGAATTGAAATGTGTGGACATCCAATCAATTTGTACGCTAAGCGAACTGTTGGTTGACATGGTTGGAATACTCTTGTTCACCAAAACCTCAACCAATAATGCAGTAGAGCCGGCAACTGCGAAATTTGCTCCATGTCTAAAGTCCCCATTAGTATTCAGGTAAGGATTGAGAAACGGAAGATCGGCTGCCATAGCTGTTAAATTACAAAATATAAATTGTTTGGTGCAAAAAAATTCCAAGTATAAGATTATTGAATCGGACGCAATCCTGTCACATAGAGCGTGAGATTTAGTTGTGGTTTGGCAAAAAAAATTTTGGTTGGTTTTTTGAAATTGAGACCTTTTAGTTTGGGATGAAAAAAATTTGTTTGGATTAAGTTTTTTTTTTTACTTTTGTGAGAGAAAAAATAAAATGATTATGATTTGTATGTGATATTTTATCTTATTAACTTTTTAACCTATTTTATCTTTTAGGCACTATTTGGCGTAGACTATGTAATTATTTAAATAAGTGTACTTATTTGAATCATATCACATTTTTATTTTTCTACCTATCTTTTTGTAAAAATTCAAAAAATATACTTTATTTAGATCATGCAAAGCAAACCTTTAATAACTAATTTAGTCCCAACCTAACCTAACCCAACTCACATAGCCAAAGAACAATCCCGCTACGTAGCTCGAATTTTCCGTGGCTTGAGTGGCCTGAAATTTCAAAACGACGTTGTTTTGGGATTTTTTTTTTTTTTTTTCCATTTTCTTCATCATTTCCATAACTCACAGAAGAAGAAGAAGGAAGAAAGAAGAGAAGAAGAGATCATCAACAACCAAAACATCATCATCATCAATACCACATCATCATCATCAACAACCAACACATCATTATCATCAATACCACGTCATCATCATCAACAACCAACACATCATCATCATTACACAGAGACTTCACAAAGAGAGAGATACAGAGAACGCGAGAGAGAGAGAGAGAGAGATACAGATCTGTGTATACATACATAGATCTATCTGTGTATACACATAGAGGATGGCGGGCTCCAGTGCCGATATGGCGGGCGGTGATGGTCTCCCCTCCCTCTTCTCTCTTCCTTCTTCCTTCCCCCTTCATTCTCTCTTCCTTCTCTTTCTCTTTTCCTTCCTCCCTTTGTTCCTGTTTCAGATGCAAAAGAGGGGAAGAAAAAATCAAAATGATGTCGTTTTGCATTCGGGCCACTCGAGCCATAGAGAATTCGAGCTCTGAAGCATTTTTCGCCAAAGAATTGGTTCGATGCACGTACAAGAGTTGGTATATGGCGCAAATTCGTAAAAAGAATAAATTATAGGCCTCGTTTGGGAACCTTCATTTTTAGCCAAAAAATCAAAAAGTTACTAAATTAGCCAAAAAGCCAACAATCCATACCAAAAAGTCAAAAATTTTCTTTTCTGTTTACTTTTTGCACATCTTTTCGTAAAAAGCCAAAAAGTCATTCCAAACATATTAATTTTTTTTAGTTTATATTTTAGCCAAATAACTAAAAAATTACTAAATTAGCATATTCCCAAACGAGACCTAAATATCATAAGAATTATATTTTATACTGAACATGTCAATTATAAAACGGATTTTTTCCCAAAAAAATAATAATAAATTACTTTTTAAATTCTTTTAGATTAGACACATTTAAAAATAAATAAATAAATTGACACAAATTTTATTTTTTAAAAAAATATCACTAAAGACAAAACAGTAATGAAAAAAACATATAAGTTGATCAAAAACTCACCCACATAAATCAAATTAACACAAAAATCAAATTACACACCAAAAACATACTTGGGGTTTGAGAAAACTTGAGCATATGTAAAACTAGGCTCTCGTTTGGTAATTCAAACAGTTTAATATATGATGTCCTGACTCTGTGTATATCAAAAAATTAGATCAATTAAAAAGGAACGGCAAGACCTAATCCTATAGTTTAGAGAGAGAAATTACGTACCAAAGTAGTCGATCATCAGGCGTCCGTTGGAGCAACGACCGGTGGCCTTGTTGAAGAAAGTTTGGCCGTAGGGAAGCTTAGCGAACGACGAGGCGGCACCAGCTTCGCTCTCACGAATGAAATTGCCCGTGTCTGAGATTGAATCCCCAAATTGATATATCCGATCAAACCCACAATTCTTGAGTGAATTGGCATTACTCAGATCCAGATGGGTTGTTGGAAGAAGAAGAAAAATAGAGGAGCTCATTAGTGTTACTGTGAGTAGAGAGAGAAGGATTTGGGTGGTCGCCATTGCACCAAGAAAAAAAGGATAAACTACTTCTCAGTAATAATGGAGAAGGTACCCCGGCTTTTAAGTAGAGGAAGAGAGAGAAGAGAGGAGTGGAGCAGGGAGGGGCCCAGCCATGCAATCCAGCAGACGAGTGAGGAGAGAGAAAAAAAAACTTTGATATGAGTTTTTTTGAATTAAATTTTTTGAAAATTAAGTTTTTTTAATTTTCGTATTTTTTATTTTTAGTGAATATTTTTTAAATTTTAAATATTTTTTTTTACTTTTTAGATGTACCTTACTTAGATATATCTAAAAGTAAAAAAATTGTGAAAAAATATTTTAAAAAATTAATAAATACATAAATATACAAAAAATATACTGAATTCTTGTATTTTTTTTGATATTTTGGGTATTTAGTGAATTTTTTTAAAAAAAAATTCACAAATTTTTTACTTTTTAGATATATCTAAGTTAGATATGTCTAAAAGTTTTAAAAAATGCTTAAAATATTAAAAAAATCAATAAAAATAAAAAAAAACATGAAAAATAAGAAAGTAGAATTTTCTGAAAAGTATTTTTTGAAAAGTGAAACCAAGCATAGTAAACTTTTCATAAATTCTATTAAAATTTTTACCAAATATTTTATATAATATGGAACTCACGAGTCTCACACCTATATAAAAGACATTTACGTTGTGTTTGGTTGGAGGATTTGGAGAGAAATTTGGAAAGAGAAAAGAAAAATGTATGTGAAACTAGGTGAAATATAGGTATATTTTATTCACATTTCACCTATTTTTTTCATTTTTTTTCTAAATTCTTTCTCAAATCCCTCAACCAAACACAACATTAGTAAAAATTTTAAGATTTTTAACATTTTTGAAAACAAAAGAAAAATTAAAATGAGAATGAGAAAATAAGGGTGCTTCCGGGCGGGGTTCGAGTGGCTTACATGTCATTCACCACCGATCGAATAGGGTTTGAATTGAAAAAAAAAAATTTATTCGCATCTGATCGAGATTGATCGAGTGAGTTGTGAAAATTTGCGAGTTGATGCGAATCATATTGGCAAATTAAACAAATCTTAATTTCACAAAAAAAAAAACAAAAATTATTTTACAGAAAAAAAATCACTTGATGTTTTAAAAAAAATTGTGTCAAGCACAGTTAGTTTATTTATTTATTTAATTTCAACACACTTGAACGTCTATATGTCTATATTGCAATATCCATTCATCGCCTAAATTAACAAACACTTTATCACAAATTTGAGTATCATTCTTCCTACACTTTCTTTTGAGAACAATAGTAAAAAGCCAATTTTTTTGACTTTTTTACTTTTTTTAGTCAAAAGGTTAGTTTTTTTATTCAAAATAACCTAATTTTTTTGTCAAAAAAATTACCAAAAAAGTTAAAAAATCAACTTTTTACCAACTTTTTAAAACACTACTTTATATGTTAACACAATAACTCACAATTTTAATAAATTTAATTAACAATTTTATTGGAGATAAAATTTTTTGCGAGTGATTGTTAATGGTTAACAAGTGACATTAATAACAAGTTTGGGAGAGTCAATGGGAGATGCCTTAACAAATGTTTTTGAAACATTATATAATTGTACAAAAAATATTTTGAAATGAATAAAAAAGTATTTGAAATCATTGAAATGTTTTTTATTTTCTTTTCCAATGACAATTATTAGCAATACCCTAGGTATGCCAAGGCAAAGTAGTCGGTTTCAAGTGCTATAAATGTCATGACCCGAACCCGCCCCCGTGGGTTAAGGACATAACCGGCCAATAATCCTGAGATTACCTACGGCCTCAAACCAAAACAAATGTATTTTAACAGAATTAATGGAGGCCAAACGAAAGCAGTTCAAAACTTTGTCCATAGAGCTGTGCTTACATGGCACATCCAAACAACCAACCATATATACATTAATAACTCACAACAGAAATACAGTAGCATAAGTTCTGTACAAACAGGATCATCCAAAAACTAAGTCAACCTATGAAAACTATATACAGACATATGCAAAGTCCTCGCCAACATGACAAAAATAACATAGCATAGCAGAAAGGCGAAGACGAGTCTCATGCGTGAGACACTAAGGCTGACTCTCCAAAACTCGGTTGTTCCACACAGACTTCACTGGGGCTGGGGCTGGGTCTGGACCTCTCTTGGCTCACCTACAAATACATAAATAAGCGTGAGCGATAGCCCAGTGGATAATATCAAATAAAAAGATACAAACGATATGTAGAACAACATACTCCGAACGGCCTTGGGCCCAATTCACATTTTTATTTAACATTTATATACACAATTTAAGTCAAGTGACTGTGGTTTCAAACATACTGGCCTTTGGCCCATTTATCTTTCATTCCTGTCAAAACGGCCTTTGACCCACTCATTTATGTCAAAACGGCCTTTGGCCCATCCATTCATGTCAAAACGGCCTTTGGCCCATTCATTCTTTCTTGTCAAAACGGCCTCTGGCCCATTCATTCTTATCAGACATTTGTCCACAATTCAAACTAGCAAATCATAAGGCATAAGGCTTATAAGAAAATTAAGCAATTGGACAATGACAAGCTTCCAAATATTAATATTACTCACTGTGCTCGATTGGTTGGTTTGCCCTGGAGCTCGACCCTACACAGTCCATGAACACAAAAGGGTCACCAACAATTCAATCCGTTCTTAAATTCACATTTTCCACTTTTAGGTCTCTTCTTATCTCTTTAACTCAATTACAATGCTCAATGCATGCCTAAGAGTACTTAGAAGTGAAGGAGAACGGAAAACGAAACACAGAACGCATAAACAAAATTTCAAAAAACACGGTCCCCGCTCGAGCGGACCCAATTGGTCTGCAAAAGTGCTGGTTGCATCAAATTCACGCTTGAACGTGAACTCAGGCGCTCGAGCAGAAGGTCTGTCTGCATAGCTCCCCGCTCGAGCGTGGACTTACTCGCTCGAGCGGACCCATGCCTGCAAAAAAAATACTGGGAGCATGAATTCCCCGCTCGAGCATCGGTTCCCCCGCTCGAGCGGACATAATAAATTCTGGGTTTTCCAGAATGGTTTCTTGATTTCAATTTCGACATTTCAACCACATTTCTTGCATATTATGGCTCCAATTTCACACATACATATACCCACATGATACCAACACCAAATCATAACACAATGAAGCTCAATTTTTGAATTACTTACATGCATGCCTCAAATTAACCCAAACTCATTACCAATACATCAAATTCAAACATGCAAAGCTCATACCACCATGATCTACTCTTGCATGTGAGAAATATTCATTCATATCAACTTAATTGGTGAAGAGATGATCAAATACATAGATTTCAACATAGATTATATACATTGTGTTTAAATATGGAAATTCATAGTAATTTCCTACATGCATGCATCTATTGACTTTAAATTCAACACATACAACTCAAATTATGTCAATTCTCACTTTTGATTACCCAACTAGCTTGAATACACAAAATCACAAGTCCAAACTTATGAATCAAGGGATGATTACTCACCTAGGAGCTTAATCCTTACAATCTATGGTAAATTCTTAAGTGTGCCTTCAAGATCACCAAGCTTTGAGGCCAAAACTTCAATTTTCCTTCACCCTCTCTCCCTCTAGCCGACCCTCTCCTTTTCTTAGTGTTTATGATCAGCCAAGTAAAGCTTAAAGGAGAGAAATTAGGTGTGTAGTGCCCATATTAAAAGCCCTTCTTGTTATATTATTTTAATATCAAATAATAGAGCACTAAGTCACTAATTAAATCAATCTAATTTGATCTGAATCAGTTTTAATTAAATTTCACCGTAGGCTCTAAAAATTATGCCAATCACAATGGCGCAATCAATTCCGGGTTCTGTGACCGATAAGGCCTTCAATTTAATTTCCAAAGCAGACAATTAAACAGATATTCCTACGGTGAACAGATAGAAATTCAAAACCACATATTTTCACCTAATAGCACACGAAATCATATCAAAACACATAATCACATTTGTATTAAGGACCAATTAATATAATAAGGGACAGGGTTATCACAGACTTCCCCCTTTAGGAAGTTTGGTCCTCCAAACTTATTTTACCTTCGTCGGGAAGCAGATGTGGATAGCATAGTCGCATTTCCTCCTCTTTTTCCCATGTAGCATCCGTCCCATAGTGTTCTTTCCATTCAACTTTCACCATTGGGATGGACTTGTTTCTCAGTTGCTTTACTTGCCGGTCAACAACTCGTTCCGGCCATTTAGCGTACTCCATATTTTCATACAAAGCTACCTGGTGATAATCAATCACATGAAACAGGTCTCGGAGATAACCCCTCAACATCGACATATGAAACACATTGTGGATTTGCTCTAATCCCGGTGGAAAAGCAACTCTATAGGCTACCGAGCCAAGCCTTTCTAGAATCTGAAACGGCCCAATGTAACGGGGCGACAACTTGCCCTTCTTTCCAAACCTGACTTGGCCTTTCATCGGAGAAACACAGATGAACACATGGTCACCAACCTCATACTCAAGAGGTCTTCTCCGAATATCAGCATAATTCTTTTGTCAGTCCTGAACTCTTTTGAGCCTTTGTCGAATAGTCTTGATTTTCTCAGAAGTGTCTTGCACAATTTCAGGCCCAAGTAAAGCCATATCCCCGACTTTTGTCCAACAATTTGGTGATCTACACATTCTGCCATACAAAGCCTCGTATGGTGCCATACCGATGCTGGAGTGGAAACTGTTATTATAAGCAAATTTTATAAATGGCAAGTAGTCTTCCCAACTCCCCTGGAAATCCAAAGCACACATCCGAAACATATCTTCCAGAGTCTGTATTGTTCGTTCTGATTGCCCATCTGTCTGTGGGTGGAATGCAATACTGAACCTTAGTTCTGTCCCCATAGCTTCCTGCAAACTCTTCCACAATCTAGATACAAATTTCGGATCTCTATCTGACACAATAGATACCGGAGCTCCGTGTAAACGGACAATCTCATCAACATAAATAGTAGCCAATCTATAAGCATTAAACGTAGTTCTAACTGGCAGAGAAAATGTACAGATTTAGTTAGTCTATCAACTACAACC